CCTCGCGCCCTTGAGGTTTATGCATTACTTAAAACCGTAAATGCACCGAAAAAATTTCATTGTCATGAATCAATATTATTGACACAACTAAATATGTTTTTATTCAGTCTAGCAACATTTCTTTGTGTTGCTATTGCGGGGAATACCCGCTGCGGGGCGACTAGTATATATACATTAATCTATTCTATAAATCTATAAAATTGGGGAGTTTTATTGTTATGGCAGACCTAAAAATTAACTATCAAATATGCGACGCGGACTCTTACTTTAGAAAATGGTAGTGTAGGACTGTTATTGTCTTGTTCTTCTTCGCAAGTATGTTTCACCTTCAAGATAACATCACTGCCTGCTCTTTTAATCACTTTCGGCATAATGATGACGGTTACACACTCTCTTGACAATCGTCATAAACAATAAGATAGCGGCAAACGATTAGTTCCGATTTAGGCCGCAGGTAGAGCTATCTTCCGCGGGTTCCGCGCACTCTAGTAATCAATCTAGCTATCTAACGAAGTATTCTAAATCAAATATCATAATGTAATCAAATGTAGCTAAAAATTATACAAATTACAAAAACAAGAATTCGAATATCATTCCGTTTGTGTGTACGGTATCTTTTAAAGAATTGGTATTTTTTGATTACGGACTACGGCCCGGCTGGGAAGTATGCAATGTAAAATACAATATTCGCTTTCTTTATATAAACAACGGCATGGCATTCCTTAAATATCCACGATATTATTGTATAGTAATGTGTCAGTAGTGCTGTTCAACATTAAATTATTACAATATCATATTAAATTATCCCGTGTTATCCGTGGGAGTTACAAGGGGCGATCAACTAAAACTATATAGATATATTATAGTGCTTCGTTTAGTGATTTGATCTTCAACGATAGCAAAAATCTTCAAAAGGAAGAAGCTGAAAAATCTACCGGTAACTATTACGAACGATGGCGAAGAAAAAAACTATCAATATTAGTTATTATTATGTTTCTATTAAGCTTAATAGTTGAACATTGCATTTCAATTTTTCATCAAATTCTTAGCATGCCTTTTCATGTAATCCAAAGCTGCTAGGTGGCATTTTGCAACACCAATTCACGTAGGACAGTAATACTCGATGTACGACCGGACCTGTGTTTTATACTGAGTAAGCATATGTCCTGGTGTGAAGTACCGCTGCACCCTTGTAAGAATTTTTCGGAAAAAATTTGCTACGGTTAGTTTCTTTTTGATGTGAGCGGCGTTGAATTTCAAAAAATTGGCATCACCTATTCGGAGATTGCCTGCAGTGACTCGCTCAATCATATTGATTGAGCCGGCCTAGCTTAATGCCCCTATTACACCACCCTGAATCAGGGCCCTGAATGAAGGGTGGGCGTGGCTCCTAGTTAGGGACGTCAATTATTACAAGGAAAAAAGAATATATATATTTATTGAATCGATATTTTAAGGTAATTGTAACAAATCATTTACTGTGTTTCGTCCTGCTAACCTTAGTTGCGTAACTCGAGTTTAGTTCAAGTTGTGTGAATTTGAACTTGAGTTAACTCGAGTCGTAATTTTTCCGAGTAGGCACATCTATAGGATGCAACATCGCTCATTAAAAATATTAAAACTTATGTACGATTCGATTTCTTCAATTTTTTTTTATCATAATTTAAATATATATATATATATATATATATATACATACATAAGGAATAAATAATAATTTTGAACAGAAATGAAACAAAGATGTATAATAATCAAACATTATATTTATGTTATTTTAGGAAGTTTTACACTATTTATTTTTATACATTTAATTTTACCGAATAATTATCAGAAAACATTACAGTAAACAGTAGTAATACAGAAAACAGAACTAATTAAATATTTTTTTTACTTTTACGTTTATTTCTTGAATTTTAAAATAACAATTTTGACAACCTAGTGCCTAGTAAGTGGTTTCTCTCCGGGGTGATTGTAGATCCATCCTCTGAAAATAACCGCTCACGGGATACTGAAGTTGCCACGATAGGCAAATAGATCTTATCTAGGCTATGAAGCCCGGAAAATAACCCTTTCATGATATCCCACATGTAATATATGGAATTCGTCTTCTGCATTAATTTTATTTCCTATGATGTGGTGCGTTATTTTTTTATGGTAGTTCCATATTATGTTGTCTTCCGTAACCGTTCGTCCATAAAAATCAATATTAGAAAAATGATTGTAACGAAGTACGAAGTACCGTAAGCCGATAAAATAATTTCCATTACAAAATAACTATTAACTTATAAGACTGTACTTAAGCTACTCATTAAGTTAAAGCTCAAACAATATAATTATTAATAAGAAAATTAATAAAACAATTTAAATCCATTTTCAATATTTGTAACCTTATCTTAATTGAATATCACAATAAAAATAACTACAAGTTTACATCGAGAATGATATTACCAATGGAAGACAATTGTACTTCTGAAGTTCAAGCATATTTATTTTCGGCTGAAAGACCATTCGCCCGTTTTTTGATTCGTAATTAAAATTTTCGGGATTGAGTTATTTCTGATAAATACTATAATCATAGTAAACCTTCTAACTTTAAAAATTTAGACGTTATCTAACTTTGACATATTTTGTTTCGAATATTTATTTTTTGGCAACATAAAGTTCGTGATAATCATCGTTCGCAACTTTTAACATACGAAATTTTATACCTTCGAATAGTTGGTTGTTTCGTAATCTTTGACGGCAATACATCGTTCATAAAACATAGCTCGTGAAGAACCGTAGACAGAGAAACCTATAAACAAATTGACGCCTTCTTTCGCATTCGCACACGTAAAAGATAGATTTATACATACGTCTTGCATAGAAATGAGACGGGGGGTTATTTGTTCTTTTGTTTAGCAAACTACGCTTTGCTAAACAAATGTGTCATTTCGTAGCGATCTAAGGAGTTTACAATTTGGTTTAAGTGAGAAAAAAGTGTTTTGTGAGCTTTGTGTTTTTGAGATTGGTGAATCTTATTCAGTTCAGTTCTTAGAACAATTAAAATTGTTATCTAAATATGTTTAAAAGTCATAAAGATTATGGTATAACCTAAAACTACGTTATCGTCCTTTCTCACTCGAGGCCACGCTAATCATTAGTCTATAGGCTTCTCTGTCTACGTGAAGAACTATGTTTATGAACGATATATCAATGTTTGAAAAAATTTATGTATCGTTTGTATCCCAAGTCGCGCATCGATTAAGTGCCCTAACTCCCTTAGTGTTATTACGCTGCACGGTTGAAGGGCACTGCAGACCGGGTCCACTTTGACGCCCTAATTGGGGACCCTTATCACACCGCCCTGAACCAGGGCGTAGGGAGCCTGATTCCGGGTAGTGTTATATGGGTATAATCACTCGGCTGATATATCTTCACAACTAAGCTATCGTCATATTATGTAAACTTGATAAACAGGCTGCCGTTAGAAACATACTGATGATTTTTGTAAAATCTGATATCTTTTAAATTAACATTTTATTTTGTTTTACATTTAGGAAAGGAGAATTCGAAGACTGGGAAGATGAAATGGCCCGCAAAGGTTTATTCCAAGCAGTTCCAAGACCAACGAGACAAAATTAATTAGTTTTCTGTTTGTAATTAATATATTTTTATGCATCTATAAAGTTAATTATAGATTAAATATTTCATTTAATCCGTTTGACTTACGTTAGTACTGAGGAATATTGTTTTCATATTAAATATTTTTAAAAAAATGTGCAAATTTCGTCAAATTTCAAAATAAAAACAATTTTAGCCTGTAACAATGAAGATAGTTTCATAGCTACGACGATTATTTTTTTATGTTTGAATATGTAGTGTAAATTATTAAAAAATAACTAAAGTATGAAATTTTTTATTTTTTATTTTATCTTATATTATATTACTATGAAAACAGGAAGTGATTCGTGTCCTCACGTTTCATGGCGGCAGCCAATCAGCAGAGCTAATATTTTCATAAGAACATGATAATACACCAATCATGAGAAGTCTTCAATAGAGCATGAAAATTCGATGATATGACTTCGGAAAAGCGTAAAGCGTAAATTCATTAATGAAATAAAATTATGTAAGGTTTATATAACACTTCTTACGTTTGTTAGTATTGAACTTTAAATTTTCTTAAATAATTTAAACCAGATATCATGTAATGTCGAAGTCTACTTTGGTATATAATATTCTTAAAAAGAACTTCATTCAAAGGCTACGTCACGTATGTTTGTCTACTTCTAGTCAATGCGCATGTCAAGTTGAAAATTGCAAATGGCGGCCGTTGTTATTGTTCGTACCGAATAACTATTTGTAAAATATATACCAATCTATTTAGCGATTTTTCTAATGAACTGTTATATTGATGAGATGCTTTAACTTCTTATGATTCGGCGCGACATGATTTATATACGTTTATACGTGTTTTGAGTGTTTTTTTTAAATTCTATGTGTGTCATGCAAATGGGGTAAGCTGGAATTATCGGATGTCGCTTAGGTTGTTTTGGATAGTTTCAATGAAAAAATGTAGTGGACTTCTATGATGTAAAGTGTGAAAATGGAAACTGCCTAAACCCAAATATATGTCGCGCGACTATTTAATATTTGCGATAGACGAAAACGTCTGTAAATTACGAATGTTCCATGCCGTGATTGCACTCCCCGTACATTTCAAAATGGCTGCTGCTCTTCACGATATATGAGCTTTGCGTCACTGGAACTTATATCAGTGGTTTCGATTCGTGTTAAAATTTGCGTATTTCAACACTTGTGATTATATGTGAGAAATCGAAAATAAGTTGTGGACAGTGCCCCGGGCATACCTGGGGCGGAACAATAGTGGCTAATATCATATGTTGCTGAAGTAGTGAACTGGACAGTGCCCATAGAACCGATATTGCCTTGCGTCCGGCGGACTGTAATGTTGAGTTTTATATTCAAGGATGGTTTGGGACACAAGATAATAGAAATTGTGTGGTATTGAGCGGAATGTGACATTGTATGATAGGTGAGTTGCTTTTTTTTAAGTTTATTTACATTTCAAGGGGTGTCAAACATCGATGTCCTCACAAAATGGACACATTGGTTGACAGGAGGTCGGTCGCTCGCCGCGCATACCGCGCGGTGTAGGACGTAATAAAAGCCTAATTTTAGCGAAGAACTTCCAAAGATATTTGATTTATCAATAAATAATAATTGTTGTGTAACACGCGTAAAACTTTTTGAAACTCTGACCTTGCCGATGGTTTAGAAAATATTCCGTAAAACATATCATTACGTAGTCGGCGTCTCTTTATGCCTTTTTAATCGCTCTTGATAGATCCACGGCGACTTATTAGCTGAATATTTGTCAATAATAGTCGACTTCTCAAACTAATATAAATTGAGTGAGGTTAGGAGGAACAGGAACCTCTAACACTAGATTTGTAAACTTACTGAAATGACACTTTATAATAAAAATTTCAGAGTATAGAGTTATAATTAAAAAAATAGATTACAGTAATTAATTATCTTAATCAAGGCTGGGGCTATCAGTATTTAAAAAACGAATTTAAATGTTGCTAAAACATTAACTTGTTTTATAATTTTGGATGAAGTTTCAAACATTACTTTATTAATATGTATACATGTACATTTCATGAATATTAAGTTCTATTGTTATATTACACAATTATTAGTTTAGATAATTTTACTAAATTATCTAATAGTAGATTTCATTTGTTAAAATCTTTGCATTATTGTTCATAGACCATAAAATAGCATGAATTTAAATATGAATCCAGTAAGTGCTTTAATGGGATATTCCTGTTTATCAACCCTTAAAAGTCCACCCTGACGTGTATACTACATTACACTAATAATAAAGAATACATTTAACTTGTTTTACCTTAGGGTGGCTTTTTATGGTTGATAAACAGGATAACCTGTTGTAACTGGTGTAATTTTCTTAAGTATTTATAACCTATTGGTGTATTGGTATTTTTTATGAAAGTCATTATTAATTTTTGGCTGCTTTGTTAAATAATTATTACTTGAAACTTGTATTTCTTAGCATTTTTTTTAATTGTGCTATAATTATAGTAATGTATTCATAAGATATTGAACAATAAATATAACCCTATGTCTGTCCAAACGCCATATTCTGGCGTCTCAAATAATATGCATATCTGTCAAATGCCATAATATGGTGTCGAGTGATAGCCAGCTATTTGTAACATATATATGATATATATATAACGTATGCATAATCTGATAGCTTATTTAATAATGTTTCCATTGATATATGATTTTAATATACTTTATTAGTATATATATTAGTTAGTATACTTGTTATATATTTAGTACTTCGGAAAGTGCTCGACAGATGCGCCATATTGGCCAAAATGACCCCGAAATTCAAGTGGCTAAAAATATATTGAACAATAAATATAAGGAAAACATTTTGATCTACATTAACTACATTTTCCATCCTTGTCTGAAAGAAATTAATCTTTCCTTTTATAAATTATATGAACAGTGCTTATGCCATTTCTAGTCAGTCTTTCCATTATAAAAAATAACTAAGTTTAAGAACCTGTCCATTTAGCTAACTTAATTCTTAGGTGGGAAAATCACATTTAATAATCATATTTATTATAATTATATTGAGAATACATTCATATAAGTTTATAATTTATAAACAATCCACTATGGCAACAGCAAAGAGATGAAAAAATAGACCAAAAGGTTTTTGAAATTTATATTGGGCATAATTTAATGATTGTTTACAATCACCTTTATTTCAATCTTATTTAATTTGACTTTAAAGTAATAATAGACTAATATTTTACATATTAATGGGTAGAATTCAGTTTTTTACCACTTTTTTCATATAGAACAGGTCATCCAAAAAGGTCAACAATCAGAAGATAATCTTGGCCTATTTTTAAGGTTTCACTTCAATTGAATCAGTGAAAACATATCCTATACAAATAAATAGAGCCTAGCAAATGTTTGTAAATGTTTGTGCTGATTTTTTTTAGAATTTACTTATCCTAATAAAGATAATGTTAGTTATTTATTCAAAAAAACCATTTGAAATAAAAATATCTTTTATTTACAAAATACATTGACAAGAAAGAAAATTTGCTAACAAAAAAAATTATTGCAAAAATCTCAAACTTAACAATTATATTTTATTTTTAACATGTGAATGTGATTATTTTCTTCCTTGGTATTGTATGGTTGTACTTTTGCTATGATGCCATGAGGAAGTAGGAAATTATCCTTTATAATGATTTGTTCAAAAACTTCCCCACAATATGTTGATGCATCTCAGCTAAAATCATGAATAACTTTTTATTACTTAAGAGCAAAGGAATCTATGTCGATATAACATAGTCTGACATGTATTTTATTCAAAACTTCATAATGTGTTGATGTGTCATATTGCAAAGTTTTTACTTAAGACTATTACATTTTTAAGGTGCCAAACCATCAAGTTTCATCATTTTGACTACCAAATAATTCAAATGTTCAGTGTTTAATTTCCCATCAAAGGCTATGTATATGTATATTGTATATTTAAATATTATTATATATATTCCTTTTAAAAATGAGGTAGTAAACAACCTTCTAGTAACATTATTTATTATACATAACATACATAAACCCTGTCACCCAGAAGGTTATCAATGACTATGTACTTTCATTTGGCGTAATCCCAACACCCCTCACTTTTTTCACATCTATATATGTATGCACACATTTTAAGATCTTAAATAAGTTACCAATTTGATCTATTGACCTGTAATAATGGTGTTCTTGCCAACCCTACCTTTCAATTACTACTGAAGTATTCCTTACATCTTCTTTATCTTGCACACGCTTATTAGTGTTACTCCTAACTTGTTTCACACAATTGACAAATTCTGACTTCTCCCCCCCATTTACTTTGTGTCCTGGATTCACTCCTTATTCTATATTGTTGTCATGTCTACCATCTCTGTGAAACACAACCTTAATACACAAAATCATGCACTTGCTCAGCTGCCTTCCTTTCTAATTTCAAATATTGTTTAACTTTCTTCTCATTTGCCCTTCCTTTAATGTTATCTTCATTAATGTCAACATCATTTAATCCTTATCCACCTACTACACAAGTATTGGTTTACAAAAGTTAACTAACTCATTCATTTTAGACCCTGAGGTTTCAGCTCAACACTCAACACAAATGTGGACAGAATTTGCCATAAAGTAAACTGCACAGTGCTGTAAAATTCACCAAAAGTCTGGTATTTGGTCAGAAACTTCTTTGTTATTGTCCACATAGAAAAGCTCTGATCCTTACCCCATCTTCCTAAATCCAACTTGTGTTGTCTAAATTTTTTTCCAGTTTATTTCATAAAATTTTCTATGAACCTTTTAGTATTCGCTCAATTAATAATCTTTGTTATGTATTAATTTTTCAAAATAATTGGATTTATATTTAAAAACAAATAATAGTAATTATATGTGATATTGATTGCAATTTGAAATATATTTTTCTTTTGAAATTTTGAATAATTCTTCAAAAATATGTTTATTATAGGCAATATCAATTTTAAATAGTTTTTTTATACATATATTATAGGTGTATTACATTATATAAGTACATATGAGTAGTTACTACTAGATTGAATGTAAATAAAATAGATGATATTGATTTGTTTTAGAATTTGCATATTTTAAAACATAAACAACACTTTGTTATTAAATCCCTGTAAAACAAATTATACTATTTATAAAATTGCTCATATGTAGAACATTCAATGGCCCTTGACCTTGACTGGTATAGATCATTGACTTTTGTTAAAGCATGTTTGTGATGTCATTAGTTAATAAAGTTAAAAGATTTAGGTCTAAAACTAATCAAATAAATTATCTAATGTATGTATATTACCTGATTAATTTTTTATTAATTAGGATTAGGTTTTGTCCCAACCAAAAAGTTAATTTTTTAAAACTTTTAGTATTCCTACAATTCAACTGTTAATATATGTTCATAAAAACAAATAAATGTGTAGGTTTGTTAATTTCACAATTTGACCATTTGCAAAGGTAGTTATTATTTGTTTAAGGATGTAACAGAACCAATACAATAAAATTGGCATCATTGATAAGTTTAGGTGAAAAATAATGCTAGATACTTGTCATGTCTGCAAAGCTCATTAATATTAGAATAACTTTTCCAACAACATTGTGGTGTTTTCTCCACACTATAGGCAGATTAACAATTGCAACACAAGATGTCTACACTTTTGAGACTACTGTCCAAGGTTTCTAGAACCATATTATGAGATGATATAAAATAATTATAACTTTAACAAAAAGTAAAAACCGACTTTAAATTGCTAAAAAATAAATTATTATATGCAACCTTTAGGGGTGGAATTTTTTCTCAAAATTTATATAGGACCACCCTTGAAGAGCCTATTTAAGAAAAAACGAATCATTAAAATTGGTTTTTTATCTGCAAAGATATACGAAATTTCCTAAACAATAGTCCAATATGAAAATTTTTTTCCCTATTTTCCACCTTTAGGGGTGGAATTTTTTCTCAAAATTTATATGGGACCACCCTTGAAGAGCCTATTTAAGAAAAAACGAATCATTAAAATTGGTTTTTTATCTGCAAAGATATACGAAATTTCCTAAACAATAGTCCAATATGAAAATTTCTCCTCATTTTCCACCCTAGGGGGTGAAATTTTTCTTCAAAATTGAATGGGACCAGCCTTGAGGTAAAGCCTATTTAATCAAAAAAAAAGTATTATTAAGGGTCGGTTCACAATCTGCAAAGATGCAATCTGAGAAGATCTGAAAGATGAATCCTATCACGTAACATACATACAAAAAAATAACATATATGTACTTGAAGTTGGTTAAAAATATTATATTAGAAAATTCCCATTTTGTTTACAATGTAGAAAAACTTTTATATGTGTCATTTATTTTAAGATGATTTCCATAATTTCTTGCTTGACAAAT